CCCGCGGCCTGGCGCCCGTGCTGCGGCGCTGCGATAAGGGCTTCGGCCGCGCGACGGGTGGCGGCTTCGGCCTGTCTCTTCTCTGTTTCTTCTATTAATCTCTTGATAGTGTCACCCTGGGGACTGTGAGGGGACGGCCGGTGGCCTGTCAGGGTTAAGGGCGGTATTACACGGTGTGAAGTTCTGGAAAATTAACCCGCACTGGACTCTTGGGAAACATAATGGGAGAATAGAGTTTATTTCAGCGGGAGTGATTTTCAGCAGCAGTTGTTCGGTGTGTGTTACTCTGCAGTGCTAGTAAATGAGCTTAATGAGCTGACTGATTAAAAGTCTGCTCTTTTTACAACCTAAACTTGAAATATTTCTCATAAAGGCTTGATCTCAGTTAGGAAAAACTCATTATTTCCAACTTGGTAGAAGGGCTGCCCTTCTACTGGTGCAAACCACTTACTGGAAGTTGAGGCAGAGGGAGGTTGTTACTTTTTTACTACGTTTGTCCTTTTCATCATGTTCTTGTGGGTAGTAAGAGTTGACACGTGCTGCTTTTGGTAAAAGGCAGGCCACCCCCAAATTGTGCTGAGAATCTCTGCTGCTGGCACATTTGCAACAAGATTTTTGAATGATTGTACCCTCAACAATAGCCTGACCAGTTTGAGATAATTTATTGCCTTCAAGAGGTGAGTTAACTCATTGCAGTTGACTTTACATCTCTGACATCACCTGTGCTGAAAGGCTTAAACCAGTACTTCAACTCCACCCTGTGTGTCCTCATGTAAACCCACTGAAACAGTAAGCTTTAAAATAAGTAATGTTCTGAATTCACTTCAGATTTTTTTTTTTTAATAAGTAACAGCATTTGTATATTTTTTGGTCAGAACTCAGATTTGAAAGGATGTAAAAGAACAAATGAGACTAAAACATAGACTAATAAGGTGATGTATGCATCAGCTGTCCATGAAAGGTCTTTAAAAAACAATCATCTTATTTTGGTACATTTTTGTTGTTGTAGCAGCTTGTGTCTTGTGCCAGCTACTTTGCTGTTGCTGGTTGGTATGAACTTGAGAGTAGTCAGAGTGCATGGATCAGTCCAGTCGGTCAAGTGTTGTGTGGGACAGAGAGAGGAGACTTTTGCCACTGTCTTCCCTGTCATTTCCTTGGGCAATAGATTCTTCCAAGATATTTGAAGGTTAGCCCAAAAGTCAGTATTTCTTTCCTCAAGTATCAATTAAAAATTAATACGGTGTAAAGGAGCTTCCCATTATTTCTTAACACACTAATCTGAACATCCGGGATGGATGCCATTGCTGCTACCAGCATTCTTAGGTTAGATACATGTCCTTTAAATTTACTGTTTTCAGAAAAAACACCTAAGCCCTGATGGCCGGTTGTGTGTGTGAGCAAATTCTGCTGTGCTAGCCAGCTGTTGCATATTTGAACATTTATCAGGATCTGGATCATTCAGTGGGAGTTGCCAGGTGTTGGGCTGGAATGTTGATTTCTTCTGAAAATCTGCCTCTGGGCTTATTTATGCAAGAAAGTAGTTGTGATAACTTTCTTACTGCTTCATACTTTAATGGTACAATGATGTTTTTGTCAAAAAAATATCACTCAGGCCTCATTATAAGCACAGGGACAAGGCTTTTCATGTTTAGCCACAAGCTGATGTAGCAGTAACACAATTTTTTTTTTTCCCCCTGGTTTAGCCTATCTACACTCTTTAGAGTTCAGCATGTGTGACAGGCTGAGTTTTGTGTTGTTGCCAAAAGGCTGGCCAGCTAAGACTTTTGTGAGAGAACTTAACAGCAACAAAAGCGCTACAGCGTGGATGTAATGCTGCTGGCTACTGGGTCTGCTGCCAGGGCCCCGTCAAATGCCGGAGGTGAAGCTCCGCAGCTGCAGTGTTTCTGATCAATAGATGGGCACCGCCGGTAACGTGGCACTTGACGCTGTGTGTAGTTTCATAGTTCATCCAGTACAGTTCTCAGTGCATTTTCTGTGTCACAGGGGCTCTCCGAATTAAAACTGGTGATCTTCAGTGCACGTGCAGTGCTTAGTGGTAAAACGTTTGAGTTTCTATGTTAGTCTTTTCTCCATGGCCAAATCTCCTGTATTGCAGGAGAGTTGTGTGGCTCTGGGGTTTGATCAGAGGAGGTGAGGTGGTTTGTTGTTGTTGTTTTAATTTTGTTAAGGGGTCTTTTCTCAGTTCCCTTAAGAAGTAGTAAAACAAATCTCAGTAAAAGAACCATTTATGAGCAATAAGCCCCCAAGACAGGGATTTAATGCAGAACAACTATTGCATTGTAAATGCTCACAGCAGCTTATTCTGTACTGACAAGTGCACTTGGCGCACGTAGTCTTCAGAGTTCTCTGCAGATTCAGTTGAAAGGACGCAACTGCTTGTAAAAGTGAGACAGTATGTTTATGTTTACTGTGATATTTTCATAGTTTATCCTGTGTAATCTAAGGTGTTTTGCTGTATTGCAGTGGCACTTGGCAGAGGAATTTAAAATTGGAAAGCATGTTGGTCGTTATTCCTCCCTCACTTTTACAGACAGAAGTAATGCTATTACAGATTTTTAAAAGATTACATTCTTAGTCATGTTAAAAATAACTGCAAATCATCTTCCAGTTCAGGAATCTTAAGCAGCATATAATAGAAGTTAATAAAACAACTTTAATTTGTTGCTGTGTTCTTGACTGTGACTTTGCAAGAAGCCTGTGAGAGTTTTCGTGGTAAAATTAGGCTCATCCATAATGCTTTTCTTCGTTATTTTTCTGTTTTCCTGTTATAGTAGCAAAGTGATTTTTCTTAAATGTCCTCTTTCAACTAAGATTCCAGGTCTTAGTTGTCATTGTTACCTCTTTCAGAGGTAAATGAACTGTACTCCTCTTGTCATTTTTACTGGTTTTGTTCTTTCTTTAGAAGAGTTTTTTGAGTTTTCTGTAGGAGTCTCATGTCTTTCTGACTGTGAAACTAAGTATTATCAGCAAGTTTTTAATTGTCGTTGTTATATAGCTATTCTGTCAATAAGTCACAGAATTCTTATAAAAAACAGAGCAAGCGAGAAATTTGCCACTTTAAATGAGATACGGGATATGGATTCCAGGCTCTTGTCTGTGGTGAGAGATGTTGAAATCACAAGCATGACCTATGTTGATTCACATCATACCTAGTCATGAAATGTAATCCTACCCGCTGTTGCAAGAGGAGGAAAAGGCTGTTTAGTTTCTCAGTGGTTTTTTTCATGTTGGCAGTAAGCTTTTTCAACAAAGTGAAGATTACATTGAATTTACTTGTGCCTGTCCGTAGAGGGTCAGCACAAGGCAAATATGACGCTACCTTCTAATTTTCCTCAGGACAATTTTTTTTGTCAAGTGTTACTTCAGATTCCTGGAAACTTGTTTTCAGTAGAGTTCACAGGCGAAAGCCGAATCTAGATGTGCGGTCTGTGAGTTAGAGTAGCACTTCTTTGGTAATTTTTGCGTAATAAGGAGACGCTTCAAAGGTCTCTCTCTTACTTCAGGGGTTGAATTATTTCACAATAAGTGCTGGATGTTGATTGTATTTATTGTTCTGCGGATCGGTTTCATAACTGGGATGTTCCCTGTTTCATGACACAATGGGACTCTCAATTGTCTGGCGTTAGAGGACATGGAATTACTTTTGGGATAATTTTGAACAATCTAGGCAGCTTTTATGAGATGAGCATTAAGGTGGTAAAAATAAATTATTCTGGATAACTGAAATTTGCATGTTCTGAATTGAGTTCTGTTCCTGAAACCGTTGAGCTCCTTTTAATATAAATCAGTTCTGGGGTTTGGTGGCATCAGGATTAGAACTAGAGTATTTTTAATTGACATGCAGAATGTGGGTGCTTAACATATATATAAATACTGCATTTTGAACGTACTACAGATATGGAAAACGCTGGTTAGTAATGTCCCTAAAGAGTTGGATGAAAGTGTGAAAGGGTATATTGAAGTTGTGTGCGTTCAGCGTATCGTGACAACCAAAATGCATTGCAGTCAGATGCTAACGAGGTAGCTCTGTTATCTGATTGTAGTATCAGCAGAATTTTCCCAACAGTGTAATGGTTCATGAAATTAATTTTTTATTTTCATGTTTTTACTTGTTTTTAGGTATTACTTGTGGTCGTACACGCATCCCTGTTTTAGGAAAACTTGGGACTTTTGAAACTTGTTCTCTAAGACGAATTCCTCTTAGAAACTTTTCGGAAACACCAGCATATTTTGCTTCAAAGGATGGTGCAAGCAAAGATAGTTCTGGAGATGGAAGCAAGGTAATCTCCATGCATTAGGTTTTTAAGTAGTTTATATAAAATGTTTCTTAAATGTTTTAAATATTTTTTTTTCCATACTTAGAATATTTTTGAAATTTTTGCTAACTTTTGTCATTTCTGATCCTTCAAATTGCTACAGCTGGCAGTGAAGAAAAAATAAATTGTATTGTGAATTTGTTAACAGACAAACCTTATAAACATCCCATAATGCTTTTCCCAGTCTTCTAAACCTTTTTACGTAGCATAAAAGGACACTTGAAAACTTTGTAGAATGTTATAGATCCACAACAGGTTTCAGGATCTTGGGGAAGAGTAGTAATTGGAACTATTCTCCTTCAAAAGGAGAATCTTGCTCCTTTTTGAAGTAAGTACATTTTAAAATGTTTTTGTTTTCAGCACTGATTTGGTAGTTGTACTAAGCAAGGCAAGTTTGTGAGGAGACTAGCTTTATTCCTGTTAGTAAATTGTAATCTATTTTCATCCTAATCTTTCTCTAAAATTATAGTTAATAAACAGCTTCTTCAGATAAATGATTACCTGAGAATAAAACTGCTCTTTAATCAGCGAGTAAGATTTTGAGAGTTCACAGGCAATAACTTTACCTTAGTATGGTAAAACGTCTAAGAAACTGTCCAGATGACACAGGTGTGTTCTGAAGGTTCAGATTAAACTTTTTAAAAAAATAAACAAGGAAGATAAATTTTTAATAGTCTTTTTTTGTTCAGAAGGGTTGCAAGGAGAAATGACCGGGTAAGCAAGGTTTAAAGAAATGGGGAACTGTCTTAGAAAAGGGAAGAGAGATCTTTGCTGTTTCCTAAAACATAATAGCTTTTATTATTAATCAAAGTACAAAGGCAAAGAATGGATATAGATTTAAAAAAAGTTAACCTTGAACACCACTAAACAAGGTAAGACAGAGAAAGTAGAGTAGGTCTGTCAGGGAATTCTGCCTTAGAAGTGAAAAATAAAGTATTTCCAAGCAGTTTCTGAGATGCTTGTTTTATAGGCCATATCTACCCTACAGCCATCTGCCAGCGTAGCTACATCTGTCAAGGACGTGAGAAGAGTTGTGGCTTCAGAAATCCTTAGAATCAACGCAGTTGTGATAATGAAATTACTTACTCTATAAGTATGATTTGTTTTCTTCTCTGGGATTAGAGTAAATTACATTGAAATACACTATTAAAACATTCTTGACACAGTTTAGCTTGTTACTGTTCTAGTGCCAGTCAAGCAGTTCCAATGTAGATATGGGATGCCTCTTCCATAGGCATTCAAAATTGTCAGACCTGGGAAATGCAGATGTGTGTGCACTTCAAAATGTTTATATTGTGTTGCTCTAAGTTTTCAAAGCCTTTAAAAAACCCTGACAATAGTTATTTTGTCATTCAGCTATTGCAATATTCACATTACTGGGTTCCATAAACACACTGCTAAATGCCTAATGTAACAGCTCCATTGTTTGGGGCTAATTGTCTGGAAATCTTTTTTAGAAGTCTGTCGGTGAGGGGGGTGGTAAAAAGTCAAGCTCTGGAAGCTCTGGGAAAGGAGGGAACCAGCTGCGCTGCCCGAAGTGTGGTGACTTGTGCACACACGTGGAGACCTTTGTGTGTAAGTTTTAACGAATACTTTCTTTTTTAAATAGACACAGATGTGACTATATTTGTGATCTAACCTAGTCCTGATAGCTAAGGTTTAGCCTGCCTAATTAGGTGATGTCAAAAATTTTGTTGTGCTTAGTTTGGTCACGTTGGCATAAACATGTATTGTCTCTGTGGTTATGTTTTTGTAATTTGTGATGTGTGGTGGAGCAGAATACAGAAGTGGACTTCAGACCGCAGCTGTGAATGTGCAGTTTTAAAGTAGTTCATTACATTTCATGCGGTGGAAGAGATGCTCACATAAACAATACCATCTTAACTACTGATATTTCTTTCTGTCCATTATACAAATATATACTTACATATGTGTATGCTTGTAATGTCTGTCCTTTGTTTACTAAATAATAAAGCTTTAATCCTACATATACTATGACCAAAGTGCTTATCCAGCAGAGGAATTAGTATATGACAGATGGCTTGCTAGAATGGTCTTCTGTGACATAGCCAGATCCACAGTATGTTCCATATAGGAGGCTGAAAAGTCCACATAGAAAATCCAAAATGTGTCAGATGCCTGGTGTCCAGCAGCAACAGCTACTTTCCTTGAAGTACAGTCCAAATTAATGTCAGTTATGCTTTAAGTTATATCGGGCTTGAAGACATTTCTCCTTACTTCAGTGCTAATGAGACCAGCTTAGAAAATAGTTGTCAGAAAGCAAATACCCATTGTTAGTTGGTGGGGCTCAAGGAGGAAGTATCAAGTCATAATCAGGCTTGTGCACTAAGAAGCTTAAGACAAGGTCAGCATAAACTTGTTGAACAGTTAATATTGTGGTTGGTGAAAATAATGAGTGGGTGTGGTATTATTTGCTGCTACTCAGATAAAATACTATTTAATAAAAATGATCAAACATAATGAATCACAAGACAATTCTATAACAGTATATTTATTTATGTTAGATAAAAGATCAGTCTTCAGCTACTATTTTTTTTCCAGAAATAATAAGCTTTCTTCTTGTTTCAAACTATAGGGAGCAAGGTTTTCTGAAAAACCTGGCACTAGTTGATGGAACTAGAAATACAGTCCTGTGTGGCGCTCAGTATGTTGGCCTTTCCCTGGACTAGATGTGGCTAAAAACAGTGGAAGGATTTTTAACCTAATTTACCTTCTTATCAGATGATTCATGAGTAGACAGAGACATTTTGAAAGTCTCTCACTTCACTGGTGTGTTTGCTCCCCTTGTTACTGGAGTTTGTGCTTTTATCTGGAAATACCATTCAAGTATTGCCCCAGGGTAGAACAATCACTGTGTGTCCCTGCAAAGCAGAGATGTGATTTAGTGTATGGTCAGTGTCACTAGGAATCTTTAAGCATGCTTGAAAACTTTCTTAGGAAGAGGATTCATTTGTACTTACATAATGGGAGAAGATAATTGGTATATGCAATCTCAAATTCTCAAGTAGTGATACTGCACTTGAATTGCGGCAATCGGAACGGCACAGGTACTGTAAACAGCTTGGGATTGGAAACCCACTTTGCGCTTGTAAAAACAGTGTTGGCAGCTGCTCAGATTTGTTAAAACTTGAAAGTTAAAATATGAGGAACTCTTGTGAATAATTGAATTTATCTACTTATTCTTTCACATTGTACTCTGAGGCTTTAGGATTTGACAGCCTTTAAATGAAGTCTGTTACTAGCTCAGACTAAGCACGGTGTCACCAGATAACGGACTAGAGCAGACTTTTTTGTTCATCTTGAGAACAGCAGTTGTCAGTTTTCTATTAATTGGTAACTTAAAAAGAAATTAAACCAAAGATTGTAATTGCTCTAATTTCTCAGAAATTCCTGTGAGTCATGGTCAAGTTTTTTCTGGACCTATGTCTTTTTGGATTAGTCTGTTAATTTGAGCACACTGCTTCCCAGCCAAACTGTAGAATATAAAGCGGCTGGAAAACAGAAGAGCTGAGTTCTAGTTATCTTAAAAATGATGTTAAAAAAGAAAACAAAAACTACTAAGAAAAAAAGTAATCTGTCCTGTTCTACCCAGAATGAATGGGTTGCAGCTTTTATTAAACATGCTGTAACCTCATTTTTCAGATAAGCCTTTGATGTTGCTTAGTCAGAAAAAATGATGAATTTGCTCAATTTTGGTTTGAATGCCGAACCTCAGAGCCTTAAGTAAATATCTAAAGCCAAAGGAAAATAGGCAATTAGTATTTGTTTTGGTTTTTAAATGCTAGATTTTTCAGTTATTTTGAGAGAAGTAGGGAAACAAAATACTGAATAAAAGCCACATTTATTAGTAAATTAATTGCCATTGAGTGGCAGTGTGACAGTCTGGTTGTCCCGTAGAGTTTGTTTTTATTGGGTCTTTGCTTTGTATCTGCAAATCTTGCACAAGGATTTGCTTGGCAATGGTTTTCCAGTAATTAACAAGGAAGAATATGATGCAAACCAAAAGGAATTTTGCTTTGACACGCTTTCTCAGCAGTTCCTGTATTGGTTTGGGTTGTGAAACTCTGTAAGGAGTGTTTTGTGATCAGTGAAATAGGATGTGAGCCTCAGACATAGAGTGAAATCCAATAGCTATAAAGCGAATTGACATCAGCCTTACCTAAGCACTGGTTTTACTGTCTCCACCTGATGCCATCAGCTTAGCTCCCATCCTCCAAAGCAAGACTTCCCTGCTACTGTGCATACTTAATAGGTAAGAAGCTTCCCTGCTCTCCTTTTCCTGATGTCTTTTCACCTTATAGCAGTTTAATAGCAGACCATTACCTCAACCCTACAAGTGTTTTTTAAGATTAATCCTCCAATTGTTTTGGCTTCCTGTATGTATTATAAAAACCCAGTGTTTCTCTTTGGCAAAGCCAGCTCATACAGACTTAAGAAATCTCTTTGCAAATGCAGTCTCTGTGGTAGTGTTGCCTGAATCGAAGGCAACACTTGGCTTGCATTTTACCACACTGTAAATATTTGCAGACATCTTAATGACAGTGAAGTAATTTGACAGAAGACTCTTTGCTGTGCACTTACGCATTTGCTAAAAGAACGTATAAAAACATGCCAATATTTAAGAATAGCGAAGTTGCTTGCAATGTTGAATGTTCAGTTTTAAGGAGACGGCAGTACTTAAACTTGGTTTCCTTGCATTTCAGAGCAAGCTTCTCCATTTTTTTTTTTCTGTTAAAACTCATAGTCATACTTTTTTCCAGATTGCCCTGTGGATGAGGGAAACTGGCCAGTTGCACAGCTGTGTTTTGATAACTGAGTCCTCCCCAAGGCACCCCATACATCAAAGTTTCTCTGTAACCATGGACCCTATTGGTCTTGCTGAAAATTAGGAAGATCGCGAATAACCTTCTTCTGTGCTGCTTGGAGTAATTGATAAAAGTGCACTCTACACAATAACTTTTTTTGGTGAATGATGTTTTAAAGATGCACAATAGTATTCTTATATAAAATGCTCTTTATTTTCCATTTTTTTTAAACCATACCTGTGGATCTGTAAAGGGGGAAAGTATTCTCGTGGTTATTCCATCCTAATAAAGCTGACTATTACCATTGCATAGGGAAGGACAACAGCCTCATGGCACTGTAGTCATTAAGAATATCAGAGGTGTTTTGAGTGAGCATTGGGAGAAAGTTTGGGGTTTTTTCCCTGCAATATTGTTGCTAAATAGTAGTTATGTAAGACAGGTGCATACAAGTGTTTCTCCACTGCATTCCCATCAGGCAGGTAACAGTAATTTGGAAGGTTGCCAGGAGAATTTTCCAGCTGTTAGACAAGTTTTCTTTGGACTAGAATTAATAAATCTCTGATGGTCACATTGTTACGTGCTACATTCTTAAAATAATCTGGTGGTCTTACTTATCCAGTGATAAGGTGTGTTTAATAGTAAAAAAACCCCCACCCCCTTCTATTTTGCTGATGTCAGCTCTATGGAAGGCAACAAGTTATAAATAAGCAGCTTGTTTGTCACTAGAGGCTGTTATTAAATCAGCTGGTACTACAGTGTTCAAACAATTTTCTAAAATCTTTTCATGATTTCAGAAATTTTGGCATTGAAATTCTTCATGTGGTTTTTTTGCTACATTTACTTTTAATACATTTACTAATATATTTACTTTTAATAAGTCCTATTGCACGTGATTTGCACTTAATAGCATAGTAATATGCTCAGAAAACTACAAATTTATTCTTGAACTACAAATTTATTCTTCTCTACTGTCTATTTTCAGTTATTTCAACTTTGCTTTTTCAATGGGGGAAAAAAAAAAGGTAGCGCAAGTTCTAGCTTGCAGGCTTTTGAAACCAATCTTTGCAGATGATGATTTCTTGAGACATAGTTCACAAAGTCAGTGGTAGGAGGGTTTGGCTTTTGGAATATGAAAGAAATTTGTTCTACTCTTAACGGTAAAAATAAATAAGCAAAAGATCTTGCAGAACATCACAGTTCTGATCATCTGTGGCATACCACGGCTGCCTCTTGTTGGGATGAGCCCTTTATGACCCTACTGCGCTCCATGCCCTGGGCTTAGGTGACTCCAGCATGCTCCATAGTTTCCACAGCCAGTGGGATGCAGAGACCGGGAGCTGCCACAGGTGTCCGTTCCTGAACCTGCCGCAGGCTGTCTTTGATATTGTAGATTGCTTCCTCACACTTTGGAGTAGTTGTTGTGGTTTAGCCCCAGCTGGCAACTAAGCACCACGCAGCCACTCCCCCCCTCCCCCTCCTGCAGTGGGACGGGGGAGAGAATTAGAAAAAAAACCTTGTGGGTTGAGATAAACACAGTTTAATAGGACAGAAAGAGAGAAAGAAACAACGATGCCAACAAAGGAACGTACAAGAACAAGTGATGCCCAATACAGCGATTGCTCACCACCCAGCGATCGACAGCCCGTCCTTGAGCAGCGATTTCTACCCCCCGGCCAACTCCAGTTTATGTACTGGGCATGACGTTATATGGTAGGGAATATCTCTTTGGCCAGCCTGGGTCAGCTGCCCTGGCTGTGTCCCCTCCTAGCTCCCCATGCACCCCCAGCCTCCTTGCTGGCAGGCCAGCATGAGAAGCCGGACAGTCCTTGAATGCTTAGCAACCCAAAACATCAGCATGTTATCAACAGTTTTCCATCCCAAATCCAAAACATAGTCTCACACTAGCTTCTGTGAAGAAAACCAGCTCTATCCTGGCTGAAACCAGGACAGTAGTCTGTCCCTAACCACAAATTTTTTTTTTTTTTTTCCCACTAGTTTGAGAGTTAGGAACAATTCCTGCATAGTTGGAAGCCCTTGTTAATTTTTCATTGCTTATTGCGAAGTTTCCTCTTCCAAGTGTAGTGCTACTAAATAAGTACAAAATAGATTTTTGCTTTTTAATTCCTTGTTTGGTTGCTGCCCTGTGTTGTGACTTTTTGAGCAAATTGCATTCCCTCTGTATCAAATTTCATAGTCCAGTAATTGCTTGTAAAGCTTCTAAGGTGAATGAAGGGGAAAGGTTGTGTAAATAGAGAGGTGGCTGTGCTCTTACAGGTGCTTGTCCTGTGTATCACCAACTCAGGCAGTTGGATGAATGCTGTCTAAGCCATTCCTCTTACCGTTTTGTTTTACTTTTTCTGTAGCTTCCACCCGTTTTGTGAAGTGTGAAAAGTGTCACCATTTTTTTGTTGTACTGTCGGAGGCAGACACAAAAAAGAGCATCATTAAAGAGCCCGAGTCAGCAGCAGAAGCTGTGAAATTGGCTTTCCAGCAGAAGCCGCCACCTCCACCGAAAAAGGTATGGTTCTTCATTTCACTCCGATGTTCCCTTGTATTACAGCATGGTGAAATGCTTTGCTTCTTGGTCCGCATCAGGTGTGGAATGGTCTACTGTGACAGACCAACAAAAAAGAAAGACGATTAGCTCAAGATTAAACCTTGGAGAGCTATGTGACCCAGCAGAGTACTGATAAAGGGAGCAAGTAGATCCAGTAAAAGTAGTTGGGCTTGTGTTCCTCTGCTTTTGTCTTGTGACTAAGTCACAGAATCACAGAAGCATTAAGGTTGGAAAAGACCTTTAACATCATCAATGCGACAAGTCGAGTACTGTCATTTTCTCTGTATGACCCTGAGGCTAACCTCAACCCTCACCGACAATAGTATCTTTTATTTCTTGCTATGGTCTCATATTCTGCACCCTTATGTTAGCAGCTCCCTTCTGTAGCTGCATAACCTTTTATTTGGCCTGTTCCTGCGTGTGAACTGTGGCTGATCGTCTTGTGGCTGTGACCCACCTTAAGCCATGCTAGAGAGGTTTCCCTCTCTCAAATAGTGAGGGAGCTTATTGTGTTTCTCAGTTTCTAGTGGACTGTAATGGTTTCTGAAGCTGCACATGGCTCCTGGATAGGCCTCTTCCGAGAAATTAAGTATTCTTGAAATTTCTGTTCCTCTTACAAATTTGAGTGAAAATTACAATGGGTGTAAATATTAGTAGAGGAGAACTGACAGACACAATATGGTTGTGTAAGTGCCATGTTTTTAAATAAACTTATCAACAGGAATATATTCTGTGTCTTAGATGTTTGGTTTCTATTTGTCAGCTCTCTAAGAGTTGGTTTAGACCAAAGTCCATCTTTGGCACAATATCCTATTTTGCTCCAAGGTGCTTTTAGAAGTGTTATTAAAATTGAGTTATTTTTCAGATTTATAACTACCTCGACAAATACGTTGTTGGTCAGTGTTTTGCCAAGAAGGTGCTTTCAGTTGCTGTGTACAATCATTACAAGAGAATCTACAATAATATCCCAGCTAACCTGAGACAGCAAGCAGAAGTTGAAAAGCAGACTTCTTTAACACCAAGAGGTTTGTGTGATGTTTGGTATTTTTCTGGTCAGATAAAACTTAGCATTTTGGGGCTCTAACGTAAGGAACCTGAGAGAGGTTTTACATTGACTCTAGATGTTCTGTAATTGCAACGATCTAAAAGAATTTCTATTAAATCTAATTTTCACTGTATGTAACCTTCTGCGATTTATTTAAAAGTAATCCAGAAGGTTTATGATGCTGTGGGTATTGCCTACCGTATTACATGGTTAGCTTTTTTTACTGATGCATGTTATTAGGTATTTTCCTTTAACTTTATAAAGTGAGCCTCCTAAACTTTCCTTTCTAATCTCATTTACTGCTTAGCGGTAAATCTGCTGCTTAATCTGCAAGCAACAATGCAGATCATGAAGACAATATTTTGCATAGTGAATTTGATGAATAGCTAGCTTTCTAACCTCACTTGCTGCTGCTGTCAGCATCTGTTGGTCACCATAGTATTGTTCCATACTAGCAGGTGTAGATGGAGTTACTCTTGGCAGTACTTTTGCTACTGAGTAAGTGTGTAGCTATGTTGATCCAATTTATTTTTAGAAATAGGATTAAGTTACTGTCTCTGATTCAGAGTGTACCTTGATTTTTTTTAAGGTGTTTTGTTCTGTCTTGCAATACATAGTATCTTTTTGCAAACAGAATCTTTTTTTGTAAATTTATGTAAAGAAGTATTTTAACTGAGGGGGAAACATGAGTAGCTTGTCTCTGGTAAAGGTAGGAGAGCGGTTGTCAGGAACTTCTCTGCGCTGGGTAGACCTCCCACAGGAAGATAAAATGGTGCACACGCAGAGGGACTGGCAGTGAACATTTCACATATTACAAAGTACTATCCATGATAGATCTTACATTTGTAACACTCGGATATAAATGTGAGGGTTTAAGGAAGCCTTTTCAAAAAGTTATAGCATTTTTTCCCCTTCTATAAGTGGCTTTAAAATAAGATCTAATAAGAGGTAATAGACTGTTAATGTTTTAAGTAGTAGAAATCTTGCTGTCATTTTAAAAGCATGCAAGTTGGGGTTTGGGTTCACTTTGATAGCAATAAAAACTGATTCATGTGGGATTTCTTGTTAGAAATACATTCATACACAGTGAGATGTATTCAGAAGAGGGCAAGAGGTGGAGAATTTATAAGCTTTTATAAACTTAATTTTTATTACTGTTTTCATCCTCTCTCTTAGAATTAGAAATCAGAAGACGGGAGGATGAGTACAGATTTACAAGTAAGTGAACTCTCTCCTCATGTCCTCCTCTGTAATATCTGCTCTTCTGATGTTACTGTAGAATAGTCTTTAGTCACCACTGGTTTGAAGTGCTGGGTAAAATCCTCTTTGCTTTTCTTCTGTAAGTAAATTTAATGGATGGCATTGAGCATATTTTTAACTAGGTGACTAGGATCTGACTCTCCATCTAGTTCTAGGTGGAAAGCAAGTAAAATTTAAAGATATCTTTTATGAAGTTGGTTAAATAATCATCTGTCCTTAGAGTTGTCCTCAATAGAACAAGTGGAAATTGAGGTTTATTTTTAATTTAGAACCGAGGTGTGATTATATTAATAATGCCCCACAAGATACAATGGGAGTTAAATAATAAGAGAAGTTAGGCAACTGTTTTCTGCAGTGTATTTGTACTCTTAAAAGGTGCTGTCACCTTGAACCTCAGAACGTCTTTTTTTTTTTTTTTTATTAATCTGAGTGAGGTCAGTCATGTTTGTTTTCAATTCCCCAAAATTCTCACTGGCTATTGAATGACTTCCTTAATCTAGTGTAGATCAATTTGTAATCCCAGTTACGCCTCTTCAAACCAGTTTTCTTAATCTTCAATATTCTACCCTGCAAACCAATTAAAACTCCAGTGCTCTGAAAAAAGAAAATCCAGCTCAATCTCTATATCTGTGTGTAGAGACAAAACCTGTAACAACAGATCTAAGACAAGTTTTTAAGTCTTGAAGCAGACCTGTGCATTGCTTTTGTAATTGTTGTAGTATACCAGTTCTTGTACTTTTTCAGAGATCAACAGTTTGGGTTTATTTCTTCTCATGTGTTAAAAATAAAAAATTACAGTTAAATTGAGTCAATTTGTAAGGACTGAAAATTTCTCTTGTTTTTAATGTAGAAGAGTATTTTTGGATAATCCACTGCACCATTGGGAATTCTTTACCTATATACAAATATGTGCTTGTGCAAAAACAGGGTTAGAACCCATGTTTTTGTAATAATTGTGCCATTTTTCTGTTGCAGTCCTCTCTGTAAACTTCTGTACAGATAGAATTATAGGTTTGCAGAACGAAACAGAAGAATCAAGGTTTTATTGTGTATTTAAAGTAATGGCAGACCTTGTCAGTGCTCAAACAGTGCTGTTATTGTTCCCTTCAGAACTACTGCAGATTGCTGGAATCAGTCCACACGGTAATGCTTTAGGAGCATCAATGCAGCAACAAATGAACCAGCAGATACCTCAGGAAAAACGGGGAGGAGAAGTACTAGATTCACCCAATGATGACATAAAACTTGAAAAAAGTAATATTTTGCTGCTTGGACCAACTGGATCAGGTATACAGCTGCATGTTTTTATTGGTGTCAGATTTTTCTTAGAATTGGTAATGAGTGATTTTCCTCTTTTTTGATTCTTCCCATTGGTGTATACAAAGTTAAACTATGAATTCCAAACTGAGATTTTGCACTTTTATGTCACCGTAACAAGCTGAGCTAAATGGCCTTGAAAAGGAAGGAGTCTGGTCATGTGGTTTTCTTTTTTTTTTTTACTAACTGATTAAAAGGTGCAAGTTTCACTAAGATGAAATAAGACATATTTAAAGTTTCTCTGCTTTAGTTGGCAAGTTGAGATGCTGTGGTTAATGGTGTTTCACCTCTGGGACATATCAGTTACAGGAGGGGTTAAAAGAGAATTTATATTTGTGTGTTCATAAGAAGTGGGAGTGTTTTGTGCTGAAGTGATAAGCGTTTGGCAGAGTTTTTGGGAGAACGGTCACTAAATAATATTTTAATTTTGTTTCTCCCAACTTCAAAGCAGGAGCAATTGGACTTTGCACCGCACCCTGAGTGTCTGCAAAGGACTACTGATTTATTTAATCTTTAATCTATGCAAGTACATGTATTTTGGTTTTTATATTGTGTGACATTTTATTTGTGATACTGTTGGCATTTCAAGCTGCCTTAAATGTGTAATATTAGTCTAATGCAGAAATTTGCAAATTTGCAAACATAAAAAACACTGTTTCTGAAAAATATCTTCCTTGGAAAATATTCTTATATGAATATATGAACAAGCTGGCATCATTCAAAATGTCTATTGATGGTAACAATGATCCTATGGTAAATATTTGGTTTTGTGTGCTCTAAAGAAATGTATGGAAGTTGCAACATACAGTTTTTATTTTATCAGGCAAAACCTTGCTGGCTCAGACTCTAGCTAAATGCCTAGATGTACCTTTTGCTATCTGTGATTGTACTACCTTGACTCAAGCTGGCTATGTTGGTGAAGACATTGAATCTGTCATTGCGAAGCTCCTGCAAGATGCCAACTACAATGTAGAAAAAGCTCAGCAAGGTAAACTTCTACAATATGCTTCCTTAAGTTGATTCATACACTGTGTTAATCTCACTTAAGTGCTCTATACTTTGAGACCACTAGTATTTCTGTAATTTATATTCCTGTTGGATGCACCTGAATTTTAACACTTTAAATCAGAAATAATAAACCTGAAAAGAGCTCCAAGCATATCTTGTAGTTTTTGTTCTTGTCTATAGTTGCACAAGATTGCATACATTTTTGCAATCTACAGTATGGAAGTAGAACAGACTGCTGTTGTCCTAAATTATGTTCTTCCCTGTGTCTAAGTTCTTGCTTCTCTTAAAAAATGGAGTCTTCCTCAAATCCATTTTCTATAACTGCAGGCATTGTTTTTCTGGATGAAGTAGATAAGATTGGCAGCGTTCCTGGTATTCATCAGTTAAGGGATGTTGGAGGAGAAGGTGTTCAACAAGTAAGTACTTCTGTGGAGTGATTTTACTTCGTAAGCAAAGAGCCTGTCAAGTCTACATATCATCCTATAATATGTGAAATAGCGTGGGAGTGTATAGAGCCATAGTTCTTCAGTTCTGTAAAAATTAACCTTTGAAAGCCTCACCTTTCCTCTTTACTTTGCTTGATTAAAAAAAAAAAAATCTCAAAAGCAACTCGAGGCTGCTTCATAGAACTGTTCTAATTGAAAAACGCCGTCACAGCATTCAGATAATAAGTTACATAATGAAGGCAATGATAAAAAACATTTGCCAATTTGACAAAACTCTTAAAGCTCATCATTAAGTGCAGCCAATAATGTGTATGGGAGTCACATTAAAGGAAAATTTTTGTCTATCCTTGAGTGGGATTGTCTCGTATGGAAAACTGATTTCTTTAGACACTTACTATAAAGGCATGAGAGAGCAAAAAATGTAAGTACATTAGTGAAAGTAAGCACAGTATGGTGTGCCTTTTTATGCTACACAATGAAATTTTATATCGCTTATTTCTTCTTTCCTTCTTAGGGCTTGTTAAAATTACTAGAAGGCACAATAGTAAACGTTCCAGAAAAGAATTCTCGTAAACTACGTGGAGAAACGGTGCAGGTTGACACAACAAACATCCTCTTTGTAGCTTCTGGTGCTTTTAATGGTCTTGACAGAATTATCAGTAGGAGGAAAAATGAAAAAGTGAGTGCAGCACGCTGTATTTGAACTGAAAAATTATCATCTTAATTACTGTTCACAGTACTTGGTCTTGCTATATTTGTAAACCCACTAAGTTTGTAGGGCAGTGGTTTTCCACCTGTTACCTGAGAACCTGAGGTCAAGCCTAAGAAAGGTAGTAAAGCACAAGCCTATTGTTAGTAGGCTTACGTAGCTTGCAGCAGTGTCTGCTTCCTCAGAGAAATTTTTAGCATATGCAAATAGGAAAAAATGGGGGGGTTGAACGCTGTTGGTAGAGGACTTGCTGTCCATGCTTAAGTAAACTTTTTACATTACTGTCATGTCCTGTGTTTCTTAAAAAAAGAATATGTGAAACAGTTCTAGCAATTATGATAGGAATTCTTTTAGGTGGAGTGTACCAAGTATGAAACTGAGAAAACGTTTGCATATCAGTAGAAAAAAGCTTTTTCTGTTGCTACACACATAGTTTGAGCAAATGGTGCTAAAAGCTATCATCATCTTAAAGTACCTAGTCATGCAGTTCACTGTTTTGTATATTAATGCCTGAGGACGGAGTTCTTCTGGCTGCAGCTTTCTGACAAAATGTGCACCCTGTTTCTGGCAACAGGAGTGACTGAAATCCAAAGTACCATTTATGATAATTCATGTAGCTTTTCATGTAAGTGTACATGCATTCATTTGCTTCATTTTTGAAAAACACTTTTTGGTGTTCCTGGTATGTGTAAACTTATCAGAACATGTTACCAACCTTTTTTATTTTAAGAAAAACTTGCTCTTAGGCTAAGGTATTGATACTTTGCTGAGGGAATTAAGTGTTATAAGAAACTGATTGTGTGCAAGAGGCCTAATTTTACTATATGTAATTTCTTGAGCTTGAATTAATATGTAATGACATAATCAGTTACTCCAGTTTTTTTAATGCATGTGGGATGTGATTTAGTTACATAAAGAAAATGTAACTACTATGTTTCTGTAAGCATAACGTTTGTTTTTCAGTATCTAGGATTTGGGACACCATCTAATATGGGAAAAGGCAGAAGGGCTGCAGCAGCAGCTGATCTTGCGAATATAAGTGGAGAGTCTGATCCACATGAAGATATTGAAGAAAAGGATCGCTTGCTGCGTCATGTGGAAGCCAGAGATCTGATTGAGTTTGGCATGATTCCTGAGTTTGTGGGACGTTTGCCCGTTGTGGTTCCTCTGCACAGCCTAGACGAGAAAACCCTTGTACGGATTCTTACTGAGCCACGAAACGCTGTGGTTCCTCAGTACCAGGCACTATTCAGCATGGATAAGGTTTGAAATTTTTATTTGATGACTCTTCAATATTCTTGTTTATAAATACAGTGTTAAAGGAATCTAGATTACCAATTGAAATCACTTCTCCTCACATGTGCACCTCCCCACACTCAAAAAAAGTAAGCTAACTCATTAAAACATGACTGATTTAGATTGGATAACTGTCCTTGTGAGGCAAGTAATCTGGAAGTAGTGGGAGCTGCTCTTGATGTTAACGTTCAAACGAACATCTGTGACCTTGCCTAATAGACATCAAGAGCCACTTCATGTACTATAGAGGTACTTACAGTAGTTGTACATAAAGGGACATAGCCAGTACTGGTAATGTTAGTCAAATATAAAGTGGAGCTGAAGCTTTATGTCTGTAGCTTAAATGCTAAATGTTCTGGTCTGTAACAAGTAAATTGCTACTGTTTGTTATTTTCAGTAATGCTTGTGCCATTGCACTCGACACAGTGTTGAGTTATAAATGAAATAATTAACTAAACTTAACATTCTTCTCTGTGTAGTGTGAATTAAATGTAACTGAAGATGCATTGAAGGCTATAGCCAGACTGGCCTTGGACAGAAAAACTGGTGCAAGAGGTCTTCGATCTATAATGGTGAGTAAATTAAGTCTCATAGTGAGTAAACGCAGCTACCTGCGTTCATGCGTGTGGACCCAATCGTGACAATTTTCAGTCAAAACTAAGTGAGTTTTGGGTCTTATATGGATACAATAAGTATTCTTCTAAAACTGTGGGTATTCAGAGTTCTCCCAAGAAAACTCTTCTTGCTCTGAAAATCACTTGCTCACTGTATTGTTACGTAGAAGAGGGCATACAGAGGTATTTTTTCATTCTGTTTTCTTGTAGGAAAAGCTGTTGCTGGAGCCCATGTTTGAAGTGCCCAATTCTGACATTGTATGCGTGGAAGTTGACAAAGATGTTGTAGAAGGCAAAAAAGAGCCAGGATACATTAGGTAAAACCGTAACGGAAGTATGAGAACAGACGAGTAATACAGCTAGACAGGTATTCTGATGTTTTCTATAGGAACAAGCATATAAACACAAAACCATGCACACAACCTAAAAAGGATCCAATTTTCTGTATACTGTACACAGCTGGATTAGTCCCTAGTCTGTCCTAGAGACTGTGGGTTTGTGTCGCTTTAGTTTTTAAGTAGAAATTTAAAAATAAACATATATGAAGTTACTTTAAGCCTTTTGTGTATGTGTATACCTGTAGAAATAGAAGTAAATTATAAGCATCATAAGTTAACAGTAAAAATATGAAGTTTAATTGCAACTGTACTGAAATTTTTGAAACGGAACTTTTTCCTTCCTCTTTCTATTTTCTACCACTGAGGTGTTTTTTTAATGCAAGCTCCAGGGTGCTGCAGTTTTCTTCTCCATTGCTCTTGCAGCAAGTGGGGGATCCACAAAGGCACATCTATTGATTTGCCAAACTCTTGTTAAAATAATCAATTTAACGTCGTAAAGATCATTTTATGGTAATGATGTGGTAAACGCTGAAAGCACTGGACAAATCTGGATTTTTAAAAAATCTTAATTTTAGTGAACAAAGGATGGAGTTGAGACGGGATGGGTCAGGTGAAAAACACAGGCCTGAAATTTAGGAACTCTGGCTTGGTTTCCACATCTGGCAACATTTTTTTGTGTACATGCTTTGTATTCATCTGTGTCTGTACCTGAAGCTTGGCTCAGCACTCAAAGGGAATGATTGGAATGGAAAGTATACCACTGCCCATGTTTGCTGTAGAGCACCACTGCCCATGTTTGCTGAAAAATTTTAAAATTTACTGATTAAATCAAAAAACTTTACTGAAAATCAAAGAACTATTGAATTCGGTAATGAGACTGTGTACTGGCAGTAGTGTAAAGCTGCACAGCACCACTTTCAGATCAGAAGGTTGCTCGGCAGATGGATGCTTGTCAGAACGTTTGTCACTGGGGCACTTTGCAGGTGGCATCTTTACTGGAAGCTATGGAAACTGTCTCCATTCTTTTCCTCAATTTCTAAAGTATCTGATCAGTTTATTTTAATTACAGGGCTCCCACTAAAGATTCATCTGAAGAAGAATATGACTCTGGCGTTGAGGAAGAAGGCTGGCCTCGACAAGCAGATGCTGCAAACCATTAAATACTGTCAGAATGCTCGCCTGCATAAAGCGCACTTGGTTATTTCCTTACGATTGCCTCTGGCTTCAGTCTGATACTAAAGGCATTGGATCTCTCTCGGATATGATATGTGATGAGGAACTTTACTAGATAAATCAGATTGTGTATTTTATTGCAATGTCACATTGATTTATTTGATGGACATTGTGTGGACTTGGATGGCATAATGTTCAAATATGAATTGTATACTACACTTGTTCAATTAAAATGTATAGCAAATACAGCAGCACCTGGATTGCTCTTTCTAGAAACTAAAACAGCAATGCAGGTGCTGCCAATAGTTAGATTTTACAATAATGTTACTCTACAAATGGGAAATCAAGATTAATAATTAGTAGAGGGTGAATAAACTATTAGCTCCTCATAGGACTCACGGGGGTTATGTTCAGGTCAGTGTTAGATTTCTGGTGGTGGTAGAAACCTGAGGGGTGCTGGAGTGACTTGTTACATTGGTGGGGGAGGACGCCCTTGCAACAGGATTTTGGAAAAACTGGGACACACTTCATGACACTGCTGGGAGATTTTGCTAAAATGTGACACTAGTTTGTTACAGTAGTTCGAATGCAATATCAAATGAGATCCTTCACCTCTCCATTAGGAGTAAGTTTTACTCACCTTGAATACTGTGAAAGAAGGTGAAGTCAGAAATTTGCTTATTTTTCCAGAGGGGTAAACAATATTTCTAGGAAGCGGTAAGCCATCTGAATTTGGACGAGAAGTTGACATAAATTTTTAAATATTAATGTTCTAATATAGTACATTTTGTTTAACGTATTGGAACTATCATGCATCAATTTTTTGGTGCCAGGTATTTGCCCAACCTATCTTATAATGTTAAGAGATGAAAGAGGTAAATGTATAATATTTTTGATGTAATCAGTAGTGACTGTTCACATGACACAGTGCTTTTTAAGTTATACGCTCAAATGCTAGTATTGCATCTTGTGGGTTTTGTCTTTTTGATTTTTAGTCTCACAGCAAAATAATCCTCTTCTGTCCTACACCAAAACTAAGCCAATCCTTTAGGAAAGTCTTTGTAAAAAACGCTAAAGGACCTGTATGGTTTTTTTGATTTGTTTCGGGAATTAAAATCGTTGCTTACAACTTTTGTTTTGTCCTTCAGTGATACGTGGACTTGAGTTTTACTCGCCCCTTTTTCTAAAATTCTAATTCAAGCTATTGAAATAAAACTTTTCATCATTCTTTTCAGTCTAGTGGATGTTTTAGGGTAGGAAGGGAATACTGCGGCTCTCTTCACCCTATTGTTGTTAATTTTTGTCCTGTAAATTTGACGTAATACTTGTGTTCCTATCTAGAAGCAGTGTGACATGCAGCAGATACTTCCCTTAGGATTTCAGCTTTTTTCAGGTTAAATGACCCACTAATGGTTCTGAAAAAGCTGTGTTTGGAGTTGAGGATATTTCTAGGAGAAGTTTTGTCCCCTCAACATGGGAGTCTGTGGCAAACTATCTGTAACTGCATCCTCGCTTTCCTTTTTGTAGAGTGAAAACAAACCCAAACGAAACCGCTTTTATTTCTGACTCCGTTAATTCAAATCCTTTTTTAAATGGATTGAAAAAACCAACCTTTTAGGCGAAACTGTTCAACAACTTGGTTTTGAAAGTTGTTTTATGTAACCAAGAACTGTTTTTAAGGAAACAAAATGCCGTGTAACTACAGTTTGTACTTCACCTCTGGCGTTTGAATAAAACAAAGCGAATATTCGAGCAGCGGAGAGTTGTCATCCCTGACGTCATCCCCAGAAATTTTAAATTTTATGGGTAGTTGGAGCTTCTGAGGCTTTTTTTTAAGTGCAGCGCTAGGACAGACGCGGGCGCGGCGGCAGCCGGGAGGGGCGGGGCCGAG